ATATGTATATTATTTTTTTTATTATATCATACAAATAAATAGGCTGACTTATTAGATCTAATATATTTTTTATAAGATCAAACCTAACCTTTTTATACAAATAAATTTTTTTAAAAATCTAAATTTAACTTTTTTATTAAATAGACTAGACCAAACTTTAAAGAGGTTAAATCATAAGTTTTGTATTTAAGATTTGAACTATTCTCATTTTTATGTATTAGTATATGTTCCCAAATATCTATATGAAATAAAATAAAATAAAAAAATAAATAACTTTTAAATTTTAATAATTATGATTGATAAAATTTTTAAGAAGTTATTGTTAACATTTTTTTTATTACTCATGATTTTTAGCAATTTAAGGGTGATGTACAGCTGTTTATAATGTTAATAGATAATTTAATTTTTATAAATTAATGAAATACTTTTTTTAGTTATTAAATTAATAACATATTTTTGAATTGTATTATATATTTTATAAAATAAATCATTTAAATATTTTATTTTACATTACAAAAGGAAAAAAAAAACACACTTGTAAATGACACTTCCATATTTTTCTAGATAAACCGTGACGTGGAGCGTCTGGGAGACAGGTAATTGCTATACGCAGTCGTATTGGACTGGACTCGGCACAGAAGGAAGATCCAATTCCAACGGAGGAAGTGTGGACGCAAATTAAAATTTAGGGTTCCGATTACATTTCAGATTCGCATTCGTTTGTTTGTGTGGCGTCGTTGTGCGGTAGCGAAGAAGATGGGGAAACAGATTGTGCCGGTGAAATCAGTTGTCTACGCTCTCTCCCCTTTCCAGCAGAAGATAATGACCGGTCTCTGGAAGGATTTGCCTACCAAGATTCACCACAAGGTCTCCGAGAATTGGATCAGCGCCACTCTCTTGCTCGCTCCTCTCGTTGGCACCTACACGTAAGTCTCTCTCGATTAGGGTTTCCCTCTATCTGTTTTACGGAGCACGTGATTATTGTGTCTGCTTGTGGTCGGAAAATCAAACGAACAACGATGAACAAATAAGTGTTTTATTGTTGATTTGGTAATAAAGTTGACCGGAACTGATCTGAAGATGTGTCGAAAGAGGGCTTTGTGTTCTGATCTGTTTGAGAAAATGGAATGGATCTGTTTAATAAATACCGAATTAGTTTGTGATTCTGTTTCCTTTGATATGCTTTTCAATGGGTTGGTGAATTTTTTTTCCCTCTTAATTTTTATATGTGAGAGGAAATATTAGGTCCTTCTTCAGTTTGTTCTTGTCGATGAAGTTTCTTGTTGGAATCTTCCTACAAGGCTTGGTTTGGATAAACTTTTCTATACGCACTTATGAGTTTCTCACATTAGCTAAAAACTTTTATAGAAGCTTTTGTAGAAGCGCGTTCTTCTAACCTTTCAAAAAAAAAAAAAATGAAGTGCACTAGTTGGTTTTAGCTTAAAGAAGAAAATTCAATTCATTTTATCTTATTTTCTTCTCAAGTATTTATGGAGAAATTTATCTAAATGGGCTTGACAAGCCTGTTTTGGCATGTGTCTTGGCATATTTTATCTGTCCTTGTGTTCGTGTGTGTCAATAAGAGTGTGATGCGCTGGTCTGTCGAATTGGCCCTGTATAATCATGTTAAATTATTTGCTTATAATTAATTTCTCTCTGTGTGCTTTCCTCCATGTTTTTGTTGGTGTTGTTTTGAAATTAGTGACTTTGGTTGTTGCAGAAACCAATTTTCAATATCACAATACAAGGTTATGAGGTTGAGATCGGAAGTGAGGATAAACACATAATCAAATCATAAGATTCTACCTTAATAAATTCAAACATGCACACAAATACAAATGATGTACAGTAATTAAGTTAAATATCCTTAAAATTGCAACTAAACTTTAATTAAACTCAATTTATCATCTAATAAAATTTATAATCAATAAAATAGAAGATATGAAAAGTTTTTTACACAAAAAAACTAGAATGCACAGCCAAAATATCCACAAAACACAATCAAGACTTGTGGGTGCTTTCCCGAGGGTTAAAGATTGTAATTATATTGTAGTTTTTGAGCATTGACCCTTATGTTAGTTGAAAACAAAACTGTGGGTGTTTCAACAGAATCTAAAGACAGTCACACCCCCTCCTCAATGAAACATCCACCCACCAGCCACAAGTCAACAGTTTTGATGCATAATAGTTCACTGAAATACATTGGCAGGGAGTGTTCCACTAACAGAGTCATGGAAATACTTGGTGTCGCAGCACCACTAGTGCAGCGGATCAGTGTTCTAGAATCTCAAGGGTAGAAGTTGACTAAAAATCCTTTTATCAATCTTCCATCTAATCTATCTATAGGAGAAAATCCATTCAATCCATCTATTACAATAAAAATAAACATTGGATCGGATTCAATCCATTAATTTAATTTTATGGATGGTTAAAGATTTATTCACTTTTTTTATTTTTATAATCTATTGGATTACAATATGTGATGTTTATTAGATTAAAATTTTAAAAGACTATTTTGACTTAAAAAAGTCTTGTAAATTTTAAAGGACTATATATGAAAATAATGATTTATAAAGAAAGAATAGATCAAAAAAAATATTTCAAAAAAAAATATTTTTTTTTTAATTTTCAAAACATTATTTTCATGAATGGATTGAATATCCTTCCATTAAAAAATTGTTAATAGATGGAAATAATTTTAGTTGGTGGTAATAATTGAATTGATGCTCGCACACAAAAGTGCATTCCTTTTAGGAAGATTGTGATCTTAACAATGGTGCTATATGTTACTATTCACTATGCAATAGCGGGATTTTTGTGGTAATGAAGACAAAAATCGAGGAAGGAAAAAAAAAAAAAGTTTTGGGTGGAACGAATGGGTTCATTCCATTTCATCCTATATTAAACAATTATAACTAGTGTACTGTATGTCATTCTATTCCACTGCATTACATCCCCTTCTCTCAATCTGATGTACCCTCAGCAGCCATCGTTGTAATTTCTATCTATTAGAAGATCAAAGAAGACGAAAAAAAAAATAATTTAGCTAGATATTTGATTTGGTATTTATTTTCTTGAAATAAGTATGTCAGTTTAGCACTAGTTGGTAAGTAAAATAGGCACTGGAATTGAACTGAAATTAGCTACATTAGTTCTCTGGAGAGGTTGAGTTGAAGCTGAGAAAATAAATGCCGGATTTGTTTATTTATAATATAATATATCCTGCCATGTATCTCAAAGTGCATCTGACGGTGAGAAGTTCAACGCCACTCGAGTGATTCACCTCTGGATAGAAATACACATTAGCTAAGTAACTTTGACTGAGCAATCTCTCTTTCTGGGTGGTTAAATTGTATGTCTGATTTGGCTTTTGATGAATGCAGCTATGTTCAGAACTACCTGGAAAAGGAGAAGCTGGCCCACAGGTACTAAGCTCATTCTAGAGTTGATTGGATAGCCTTCAAGTTTGTTGCCTTGCTCATGTTTAGCCAGCCAATAATGTGACACTGTTGAAACTTGCTCTTACCCTTTGGTTTTGAGATATTTTAAGGTTTTTCAACTTTGATAGTCTTCTTCATTTTCCCAATCGTTATTACTTTATATTATAAAAGACAGCTTATGAGTTGTCAATAATGCCAAAATGAGTTTGTCATAATGAGTTACAAAATGAGTTGTCACGTAACTCAAGGTTGGTTGATTACTTGTTTAAATTCAAACAATCATTCTTACATACTCGCAAAATTTTGACGAATTTTATATGCTTCGTATCTCTACAAATATATATATATATATATATATATATATATATATATATAGAGAGAGAGAGAGAGAGAGAGAGAGAGAGAGATTCAATGTATAAAATGATTTTATGATTATGATTATGTGTTAATTTGAATTAATGAAATGAAATATTAAATTATTTTTAAGTTTTTTAAAAATTTGTAGACTTGAGCAATGGATTTAAATTCAAGAGTTGGTTTGTTGAAATTTAATATAGAATATAAGTTATTAAATAGAATAATTTTAGATAAATTTATTCTTGGAGTAAAGGATTTTTCTTTTAATATATATTTTCAATGTAGTATTTTATTGCTTCTTATAAAATCAGTCGTCGAATCCTCACTTAAAAGGTAGTTAAATCTCAACGGGCATTATTATTTATTATTTAGACGACTGATAGTTAACACACCCTAAAAAGTTAGTGCAAGTGATCTTTCATATCCTCCGTTCTTTTATTCAGAAACCGTTTAAGATATTTGTGCGTTTACCGAATTAGCTAATTAGAATTGTTGAATGAACAATTGATTATGGGATAGTCGTATTTTATATCCGTAAACTAGACTTAAAATTAATATTAAAGATTTGAGTCATCTATTCTTCATCTAATAGTTCCCACTTGTTTATAGGGTGAATGCATGGAAATCTGACTTTTTTATGCCATTCAATCTTGAAAATGGGATAGCTGGTATAACAAGCAGGCTTTTCAAACAAGCCCGTCGAATGTAAAGATTTAGATGGGTAAATGATAAAATTTATACTTAATTGCTATTTCATTTTAAATTAGAGAACTATTTAGCTATTTTAAATAATTATCAAATGCCTTAGCCAAGATAAGATTTTATTGAATAATAACATTTTTATTTTAATTTCTCTAATTTGTAATCTATACTTTACCCTTACAAAGCTTTACACTTGTTAGCAAATATTACACTGTTTTTATTGATAAGTGCCCAATCTTCATCGGTGGGTAAATACAAGATTATGTTCAATAATAGTGATGAGAAAAGTGCGAAAAATTATGTTATCAGCACTTCTATCAGATACAAGCCTTTTTTGTTTTAGCCAATGAAATTTGAACCTAAAGGAAAAGGACAGTCTCTTTAGCGAATGGATGCACTTAAAAAGTGAGTACAATTATAGTTGTTGATTTAAAATTGATGATTAATATTATAATAAAAAAAAAACGCAAGTATAACGATTTATGAAGTTGTTAATAAAAGGAGCTTGAGTTTAGAAAAAGGGGGAGCTATTTCCATACAACATGGTAAGTTGACGTTCAAATTAGAAGATATGTCCATTATTCAGTATATTTTGAATATTAATTTAAAACTATATTTAACAGAAAAATACGTGTTCCAATAATTTTTTTCTGTGAGTGTAGTTTTTTTTTTTTTCCAACTTCAACTGAGTTTAATTAAATTGATTTTTAAACACATCCATAATGTCTATTAAATTAATGTCTTTGAAAATTGTTGTAATCTCAATTGTTATTTTTAATCAATATTTATAATTAAATATTATTTTCTAAAATGCTTCTCGTAACTTTAAAGAACCTAAGTTTAAGAAGGAAAATAGAATAAGTTAACTTCTAACCTCAAATTTATAAAGTGCATGTGAAATTAAATTGAGCTGGCACATTTGAAATTAAAAAATTTTAAAATAAAGGAAAATATATTGTCGTTTTGGTTTTTGAAAAATTAGAATTGATACTACGCTAGCGTCTGCAAAGTGCTGACAACTTAGTTTTTTCAAGAAATTACATATATTTAGTATTCAAAATGAGAATCTATTGAACGACAGATTGATAATTTTATTTTTATTTTTATTTTTTATCATGGGAATCAAATTCAGGACAAAGAGAGTTTATAATAACTTACATTACTCAATCCCCTTAGTTGGACATCTTGGTTAAAGAACGATCATTCTGATGTCAATTTTTTTATAATTAAGAGATTAAATTGATGTCACTTATATAGTGAATCAAAGTTATGTTAGCCTAATCTTTTGGAGACTAAATAGATGTTTATTTAAGCGAGAAAGTTTACTTGGTCATCCGTTGTTAGGTTCAACTGCAACTAATAAAAGCTCATGTGAGAACAAATTACAAGTCAAACCTTCAAGTTTTAGTAGTTTACAACCTTGCAGTGCATTGACTCAGTTTGGATAAACTTTTCAAGCTTTAATAAACAGCAGCAAGAAGCAAGATGGGTGGTTTCTTTAAGGGCTGTGGTAACGTTAGTTACTTTACAGAACAAAATCTAAAGACTACATCAAGTGTTCAATTTAATAGCAGTAACCTTGTTTAATGTTTAGTCATTTATGAGTTGCAATGTTGCATTATATTATGCCAGGACAACTATCAACGAGAAAGTTCTCTTCTGAATATTTAACAGAAATATATATTCAAGACTTAAAATTGATACTTAACATAAATATATATTCGAGACTTAAAATTGATACTACTGAATAAATTGGAAAAGTTTCATACTAGTTAATCTACACAGTCGAGCGTTGCATATGTATTATTGGTGCATGGTTGGCCACTACTAGGTAGCACTAGTACTAGCTGTGATTGCAATGAATGGGAATTCAGGTTCAATGCCATTACTGGGGAACCAGAACCATGACGGGAACTCTTTTAACACGCTAGAACAGATTTCTTGTCCAAGCTTCCTGATAAGGTCCGTTTTGGCTTCGACTCTGAGTCTCCTTTTGAGTTTGATCACCATTTTTCCACTACCAGCAACTTAAGTCAAGGTATCTCTCTCTCTCTCTCTTAAAGTTAAAGTTGTATGGAACTATGGCTTAGTGTTTTAACCATACAATGGAAAAAACCTCTCAGTAGATTCAATGTTGCATGACTAAGTTGGATTATGAAATGTACTTTTATATCATGATAATAAAATTAATCACATCAATTCAAGATTGTTTTATATTTTCATCACATGGTTTTCTATCAGTGTCACTCAACCTCCGCATCTTCATTGGTGCTAATAGAACGAAGTCGCACACAAACGTATATAATTAACTTGAAAATTTGAAAATTATGGTTTTCTTCCTTGAAAAACTGCTTATATTCGTGCTAAGACTTGAGTCATTTCAAGTTAGTATCGAAATTATGAAAACTTTAGGAACAAGCTTCCAAAATAAAAAAAATTGAAAGCCATAACAATTAGTCAACAAGTTTCATTAGATATTGTGGACCTTGTGGTAAAAATCAAACATAAAGGAATTTCAAGGGAGTGTCTGATGCTAGACAAATGCAATACTTGGTGAAATTGAACCAAAACCCTATTACTATCAACTAATCATACTAATGTTTAATTTTGGTGCACTTTTTACATTTTTCTTTTACTATCAACTAATCAAAAATCACAATTGATATGACTTCTAAGATAGTTATTATAAATGTTTATAGTGATGATTGTGACTGTATGACTGTAAGTGCATACGATTTTTAAAACTCAATTTACTGCTTTGTTTGAATACTTGATACAATACTTTGAAAATGTTCAATACACATGGAAGGAGTTGTTTCATTATTTTTTTACTTTTTAGGGTGCTTGATTCTTTATTCCTGTCATAGAACCCTGATCTGTGTCCAAAGCAAAAACTTTTTTCTTATTTGAAGTGACATGTTTCAATATTTATAGGAGAGATAAAATACTATGAAAGACAATTTGCTACTCTGAAATCATTTGAAGAAGTTGACTCCATAGTAACATCGGACTGCACTGATGTAGAAGACATTGAAAAACAAGCTCAACATGAACGAGCAATGAAGATTTCAAATTTTGCAAATGCAGCTTTATTGGCATTGAAGGTGATATTCATAAGATGTATATATTATTTATTCGTGGAACTTCGACTAGTAGTTCTAAATAGCAGAGCATTTTATGAATTTCTTGAAGTAGCCACTAAGTTCAGGTATTAGTTATAAACCTATCTATCAAGTATTAATAGAATTCAGTTCATGCTAGTGAAACTTCATATGAAGCAGTTTCCAACAATAGATCACTTAAGCATTTTTTATTTTTAGTATAGGCTCCCTTAATGTTTGTACTTGTATGTATCTAGACTTAAATATGGCTATATACTTCCTCAGTTAAATAACAACATTCATGTATATCTAGATTTATGTGACTATAAGGAGTGGGTCAATAGCTGTTGCAGCATCAACATTGGATTCTTTGCTTGACTTCATGGCTGGTGGCATACTTTGGTTCACCCACCTTGCAATGAAGGATATAAATATGTACAAATACCCAATTGGAAAGTTGAGGGTGCAGCCAGTGGGTATAATTATCTTTGCAGCTGTCATGGCAACACTTGGTAAGTTGAATTAGCCTATTTCCATGATTTCAAACTGTTCATTTATAGTTACTTATTCAATGCCATTATCGAAAATATTTTCCTTCTCCTGGGAGGTGCACGCAACAAAGTTTGTTTCATTTATATTATGTTTTCAATTTTTCATCAAAATTTCATTTTTTTTTTTCTGTTTCCTTTGATGAGTATGCCTGATGCAGATTACAATGATGAAATTATGCCAATTTTTCTTATGTTGTAACTTCAAAATTCAATTTTCATATGCATATACCTTAAGATTAATGCAAATATTTACAAAGAAACATTATATGCCTCAAATTTCAAAGCTATTGCTGCTGTGCGTAGAATCTCACTAGTTGAAAGTTCTAATGTGGTTAATAAACTCAAAGAGCGTATTCTTTTGTCAACATGTTCATTTTGCTTCATAGAATTACACTATACATCTTTTCATTAAACTAGAATCTAATTTTGTAAGATATTCAAGAATAGATTATATTAGAGGACAGCACATATTCATTTGGAAATATGGATAAAAAGATTTGATATAATCCATTTTGATACAGGCTTTCAGGTATTTATCACGGCTGTGCAACAACTAATACTAATAGAAAACAATCCTTCTGAGAAGATGTCTTATGATCAACTAGCATGGTTGTACTCCATCATGATATTTGCAACATTGGTGAAGCTCAGGAAACAAAATTGTCCGTGCATATGCAGATGTATGTGTCCTTCTTTGATAATAACTACCTTATGAATTGAGTCGAGAGACTGTCGCAACATCTTACAAATGCCAACTTGCAGGATCATCACTTTGATGTTGTAACAAATGTGATTGGATTAGTTGCGGCTGTTCTTGGTGATAAATTTTACTGGTGGATTGATCCAGTTGGTGCCATTTTACTTTCAATTTACACTATTACAAATTGGTCTGGCACTGTAATGGAAAATGCAGGTAATTCAGATACTATATCCGTGTCAAAATTCCCATTAGTTATGCACTTTGAGACTGTTTGGATAAACTTCTCTTGAAATATTTCTGAGAGGAAAAAATTGAAAGAATGAATGAAATAAACTTCTCCATAAACTATAATTAACTTATGCATAAATTAGTTTGTGTATAAACTAGTTTTAACTTATGGAGAAACTTTTTATTTTCCGCTGGAAGTATTTTTTGAGAAGTTTATTCGAACAGTTTCTTCCGCTATTATCTGCTATACCTTTCATTACCTTATATTTGAATGGATGCGGAGATTTTTATTTTTATAAATTTGCAGTTTCCCACAGTGGGACAATCTGCACCTCCCGAAGTTCTGCAGAAGCTGACATATCTTGTCGTAGTGCACTCTCAAATTAAGCGCATTGACTGTTGGGATTCATCCCAAGTCCCACATCGGTAAAATGAAAGAACATTGATTACAGGTGGACTAGCGGGCCCTACAATTGACACTGTCCGTGCCTACACATTTGACTTTCTATACTTTGTAGAGATATGTATATATTTGTTGGGATATATACTTTTTATGATTGAGAGACCTTTTAAGTGATGACTAAAAGTAAAATCGTGAGAATTTAGGCACAAAACAGACAATATCTTAATATTGTGGAGGCACAAAGCAGACAATATCTTAACATTGTGGAGTTGTGTATGAAATAATTTTATAAAAATAACTCTTATAAAATATTCCCTTAGACAAATATCATTAAATAATTCCATCAATATTAAAGTTACATTCTAGCAGCATTAACTATTATTAAACTGCTATATTAATATTTTGGTTATTTAATTTGACCTTGTAATGATAGATTACTTATGTAAGACTAATCTTAATTCCCCATCCACTCTCCTTTTTGTATTTCTGTTAACTTTTCATAAAACATTCTCCCTGAGAAATACATTGCAGTTCTTCCCAGGGCTATGTTTCTCTAAGTTTTTTTAGCTAAGTCTATGTACATAATACAAGGGGGTGTGCAAATTAAAACTTAAGGCATAGATTTTAGTATAATGAAACGGGTTTTTCTTCATTAATTTTGAAGGGCAGGGCCTCATGCCATGACAAAGAAAAGATGTTATAATTTTGGTTCTATTGGTAACAGGTTGACATTGAACTACAAGAGGATTTACCCTTAAAAGAAGCAAATGCCATTGGAGAGAGCCTACAAATAAAGCTAGAAAAACTTGCAGAAGTTGAGCGAGCATTTGTTCATCTAGACTTCGAATGTGATCACAAACCAGAGCACTCAGTTCTTAGCAAACTGCCAGACAGTCACCCTTAACAACATGTACAACGAGTGTAAAATTCTCTAGTTTAACTTTCATTTTTGACTTGAACAAAAAGAATAAAAGATCATTACAAACTTGTATGCTTCTATTGAAATGTCAAATTATATTTCTTACATAAGCGTAAAACAGGACAAACATATTATTGACAATCTATTATCTATATCTATCTGTCATATAAAGTAAAACTGGGAGTAGTGAAGTCTATACTCTTATTAGTTTTTTATTTTTATTTTTTATAGATAAACTATACTGTCATGGGTTTATTTTGGAATGAAAGATTATTAAATAGTTATCACTACAAACATAAATAAGAAAAACATACATTCTTCGAAATTTATCAATCAAAAAATTCTCCAAATTTTTAAAACTTTAAAATGTTAAAATTAAAGAAATATTTTAAATAAAATTGTTGACAAGTGTGGATTGTTGAATGGTTCAAAGATGAGTTTCGGAGCATAAGCATTTCTCATGTCATAACTTTTGGCGGATAGCGAAAAAGATGAACTCATTGAATTTTGTATGAGTTTAGTACTTCTTGTATATGAAAGGTATAATAAACATATAAATAAAAAATTAAAAAATAATTAAATACTAAAAGGAAAACAAACCATTTATAATATAGGAAGAGAGAGGTTAAATAAATTTAAGTGAAATAGTTTTGTATTTTTTAAAGTTTTATAATTAATTAGATAATGAAAATACTTTGAAAATAGATAATGCTCCTTAACGTGTATAAAGTTGCACAGGATAAAAAAGAAAACAATTATATAAATTAATAACTTTAGTAAATTTTCACCTTATATATTGATATTATTTTTTGGTATATCTTGCTTTTTGTCATAATTATTATAGACGTGTTTGAATATCCATTTTAAGGTATTGAAATATATGTTTTCCCTTTCTAAAATTAAGTTATTGCTTTAAAGTAAAAATAAATTAAGTAGAACTTAACTTTTAAATATATACTATATTAAATACCTAATCGTGATTATAATCAAGTTCAACTATATGTTTGAGATTTCAACAAAATTATGTATAAAAGTTTTCTTATAAAAGTCAGATATGATTTTCATTAAGTCTTACTTATATGTCTAGCTTATATAAAAGAGACAGATTTTTATGTGAGATTAAATTTAACGATCTAAATTAAAAGATTAAAAAAATTTATTTGAGAGAATAATTTACACTAGAGCTATCAACGTGGGCTCCAGCCCGTGGTTCAACGCAGCTCACCTTGAAAGCGGGTCTAGCCGGGCCAAAAAAAATGGAAAAATTTATGATGGGTCAAAAAATGTGACCTACTTTCGACTTGGCTCACCCGGGTTGAACCCGTGGTAGGCCGGACCCACTTATCAACCCATTAACCTAACCCACTAACAACCCACTAAAAACTCATTTAACTATCTTTTATTATTATTATTATAATATATATATACATATATTATTTTAATAAGATATTATCTTTTTATAGATAAAGATAAAATTAATGTTAAACAATATGAAATTGCTATAAATTTATCTACCTAAACTTTCAATAAAATTTAATATTGATGAATAACCACTCTCATGAAAGAATTTTTATTTTTTTTTTGTTTTGATTGTTTAAAATTGTACACTTTTTAATTTAAGTTTAATGTTGTATCCATGATACTTAGTTTGATAATTTTTACTTTAGATTAGAGATCATTTTATATTAAAATTTGTTTTAAATTATAAATTTTTTTAAAAAAATTAAGTGGGTTGGTGGGCCAGCCTGTTTAGCCCACCAACTCGTGATGAGCCGGGCCGGACTAAAAAAATTTGCATAATAAATTTGATAGATCAGGCTGGATCAATCGACTTAAAAAATGGGTTGAGGTGGATCAGGTCAAACAGGCCGGACTAACTCGTTTTGACAACTCTAATTTGCACCAAATAGTTCGGTTCATTTATTTGCACCGAATAGTTATTAAAAGATTAATAACTAGATTGATTTATCCTCGGTTAGAATAAATCTGAAAAACTTGAGGGAAGTTATTTATTTACGTTAAATTAAGCTTTTAAAAATAGTTTTATTTTTCAGTAAAAAAAAATACGGCTAGTTTATTTTATATTTTTGTTAGGGTTTGCAACTTGACATTGTAACGATGGGAAACTAGTTCAACAGAACGGTAACCCGATATTTGAAAATCAAATTGGCACTTTCACACACTTCCCGAAAGCTAGTTCATTTCACTTCACTGCACCTTCCTCTCATTTCAGGTAATAAACATTTTCTGTCTTTTCTTTCTCCATTTTCTGTTGCTGCGATTCTTCAACTTTGTGCTGTGTCGGGTGAGCAAAGTTGCACTCTTTCATACATTTCACAACCTCCCAAGATATCAAAAACTGACATTGTCCAACTTAGAACATGAAAAAGTTTCTCTTCGCAACACTAATTTGTGCTGCACCCATTTTAGTCACACTACTGTTAAAAAGGCTTTTATTATTTTTTTATAAAAAAATAAAAGGAAAAACTGAAAAAGTTTTTAACGTCTTTTAAGACCTGCCATTGAAAAACATTTCACATTTTTTATTTATTTATTTATGTGAGATAGTAGACTAAATAGTTGCTGAAGTATTTGGTGGCATTTTCTGTAAGTTATTGTATTTTCTGTCAAGGATGGTGTTCTTTTCTTTTTCTTGTTTCCCCTTCCTTGTGAGCATATAAGGGAAATTTGATATGATATCACATCATGACATGCTTGAATCCATCTGTCCACTAGCAGATGGCAAAGGGTTGCTCCAACAACGAGTACGAAAAGGCTAGAAAACAAAGACTTGAAGAAAACAAGAAGAGGTTTGAGGTAATCACCATTTTGTTATAGATGATATACTATGTTAGAATTAATTAGAGAAAAAATAAGGATTCATAAAACACATATACTCCATTGGTTAGAAACTTTTTGGATGATAACTAAAAGCAAAGGTTTAGGTCCAAAATGGACCATATCTTCTTGTGGAGGTGTGTGCAAGTGCTCTAAAATAATAAATAAACATAAGAAAGATATAATCCTCATCTCGATAAATATATCTCAACAAACATATACCGTAACAAACCTATTAGTGGTATCGGAGTTGTTGGTTGGATTTGGTGACAATTAATAACTCAGGTTCCACGTCATTAGAACAAGAGGATAAATAAGGGTTTATAAACCTATTATACCGTTTTATCAAAAGTAAAATCATGAGAATTTAAGTTCAAAGCAGATAATATTTTACGAGTTTGTGTGTGCAAATAGTAAATAACAATATATAAACTCGTCTTGATAAAGAAATATATCTATAACCCAAAATACAATGACCAAATAACCATATCACTTTTTTGTTTGTTTATAAAATCTTATACTTTGTGAGCAACATATATGCATGTGTTGATGGGGTTATTTTATGGTATTTGTTTGAGGGGATATTTTATGAAGGTTATTTTTATAAGATTATTTCACGTAACTCCACAATGATGATGGGCCTCTCAATCAATGGAGTATGAGTGTATTTTATAAGTTGTTATTTTTTCTCTTATTTTATTGATGTGTGATTTATTTGTATCCCAGCATGTGTAAATACTTTCGTCTTGTTTGAAATGAAATGCCTAACTTTTTCTCTTACAAATGTTGGTCAATATGATGTTCTATTCTGTTTCGAATTTTGATGACCAATCAATTTACTTGGTTTCACCTTTTGCCTTCAAGGATTTGGGAATTTCAAGGATATCAAAAAATTTGACTGAAATCACAAGTTCTGCAAAGAAGACACTGGTAAACTTGTATATATTTGGTTTCTCTCAGCTAAGAATAGAGATTGACTTGATTCATTTCTGCATCTTGCCTTGTGTAGCATCATCTTCCTAAACTGAAACCAAAGAAGACAAATGGTGAAGTGGAACCTAGGCGATCTTCTCGTGTGCGAAACCCAGTTCCTTCATACCGTGAAGATGTAAGTAATATTGTCTTTCAAACTACCATAATGCAGGATCAAACAACAAGCATGTGACTCACGAAAGATAAAGAATCAACTTGGGTTGGATAATGGATTATCTAAAGCTAGTATCATAGAATATAATAGAAATATGCATACTAGGAATACGTGCTTGAATTGATTTGTTCTGTTGGCAACATATAGTTGATAATGGGAATACATAAAAGCCACAAAGAAAATAATGGTTGACGCATGGTAAATGGTGGTTTGTGAAAACTTAAAAATCTCACTACTCTCTAGGTGACTATTAATGCTTGGAGATTGAGTTGGATGGGTTGGATTCTTCAACACTTTAACAAGCTCTCTCTATAATGGTGGTGTGATTTCTTGCAAAATATAAATTACTCTTCAAAAATTGGCTCCATATTCTTTCAAAGGTGAATGTAGATTTTCTTTAGAGTCAAATTTAACTTTCATTTATTAAGCACCTACTATATAGGAAATAGAGTTAACAATAAATTAAAGGTATAAAAGAAATTTATCCCTAAATAACTTAAAAAAATGATTGATTATTGCTTATAATTAGGACAAAAATGTGTTGCTTATATTTAGGACCACAGGTTGTATAAAATAACGTGTCCTTTTATGTTTTTTATTTCTTTGTGATTTCAGTTGCATCTATTTTGTTAGAAAGCCACTTAGTGCATCTTTTTAGCACAATCCAGCACTGAAGCTGAATATTGGAGTTTGGCAAACACAGCTGCATAAATACTTTGAATTCCACCTCTTCTCACTGAACTAAAAGTTCCCTTTACCATTCCTGTTATTCTGTGTCAACCTAAACACTGTTTCCCTATCTCACAATCCTGTTTTGCATGTCAAAACAAAACACATGGAGCTTGATATCTTCTTATTCCTTACAGAGAAGGTTCTAAACAGAAGCCTCATTCTCCAGCCCATTGCCGCTCTTCAGCGGAGTGCTTATATTCTCAATAAACTGCTTTAGTCTCTTCAGTTCTTGACTTTGCGAGACAAGCTCAGAGTAGTTGACAAGTTCTCACTTACTCAACCACCCTGAGTTTGAGTGGGGAATGGTAGAGATAAACAATGTGTCCTTTTATGTTTTGTATTTCACTGTAATTTCAATTGCATCTATTCTGTTAGATAGTCAGTTAGTGCATCTGTTAGTTAGTAGTTGATGACTCAACAGTGAGTCATGGGGCTCTTCTATGTAAGATTTACCCCCTTTACTGATTCTCTTAATGATAATCTCATAGTTTAGTTTCTCTCTAATACTTTTTTATGTATTCTATCATTTATGAATGATTAGGTGTGATAATAAGTACCCAAAACAAAATATATCTCTATCTTTTTTTTCAATGCGTTAGTCTAGTAGAAATTTGTAGTTGACAGTATATTTTTCTTTCTATCACAGGTGAGCATAGATCTTCCACCTTTGCGGAAGAGGTCGAGGTCAAATTCTTCAACATGGGGAAGGTTGTTAACTGTTTAATGAATTTTCTATATTGCTCATGAAATAATAATAACACAGTTATGGGACTCTCAGTTACGTTGCCAGACCACTAGATGAAATCAAAGAAGCAACAGAAGAGGAAAGACTTCGTGCTCTGCAGGCTGCAGAGGCACTCCAAATCAATTTGAACTCTTCAAACCCATCATTTATCAAGTCAATGGTTCGGTCTCACGTTTATAGCTGCTTTTGGTTGGTAGGTTGTAGGTCTCACGTACTTAAGTTGCTGCTGGCTCTTTTTGTTTAGATTATGCAACACAAGTTATTCTTCCTGCTATATTATTTTATCTTTGTTCTGCCAGGGTCTTCCTTCTAAATTTTGTGAGGAACATCTTCCAAGAACCGTATATGGCATGGTTTTAGAAGATGAAAATGGCTCAGAATACGAGGCTGTTTACATTGGCAACAGAAGTGGGATTAGTGGTGGCTGGAGAGCATTTGCATTGGATCATAAACTGGATGATGGTGATGCCCTTGTTTTTGAATTGATTGAAGGTTCAAGATTTAAGGTAATTTATGTTACCATCCCTGTTACCCTCTTTTAACTTCTAAGCTCTAAAATTGTTATACTTGCTCTAATATCATTATTTCATTTATTTGAAGAATAACCAAGGGTATGTTTGGGTAAACAACTTATTAAAGTGTTTATTCAATAAACTTCGAACATGACAGTTTATGCCATAAGTTTTACGTAGAAACTTATTGAAATAAATGCAAGTTATTTTCATAAAGCCCAAATAAGCCATGTAGAAGCTCTTCCACCCCTAAAACTAGCTCGGTAAAAATGTCGGTTGATGACAAAAAAATTGTTGGGATAAAATCTAAGTCCTACATCATTATAATAAGAGAAAAGATAAAAATTTATAAAATACATACATATTCTATTGGAAAGAGGTCTTTTGAGTGATGATTAAAAACAAAACTATGAAGATGTAAGCGTAAAGTGGACAATATCTTACTATTATTGGGTTGTATGTGCAAATACCCCGATAAACAACTCAAGATATAAAACTCCTTGATAAAAATATATATCCAGACAAACAAATACCATATAAGGTTTTATTATATTTTTAGTCCTTCAAATTTGAGTAATATATTTTTTTTGTCCTTAAAATTTAAAACTTGTGTTTTTAGTCCCTAAAATATATAAAAAAAAAAAATTATTTTGATCCCTCAAATTTAAAACATTTGTTTTTAATCCACAAAATATATACAAAAAAATATTTTAGTCCTCTGCTCAAATGCCATTATTTGTAAATCTATTGCACAAAACTATTCTACTAGTGTCATTGTTAGTGAAAACATCACGTTAAATCAATTGATATCACAAAATTTTTTTAATCTGTCGTTGTCAATTATGTTATTAGTAATCATGAGAGACTAAAATAATATTTTGAAATTATAGGGACATAAGATAAATTTAAAATTTGAGAGACTAAAATAATAATTTTTATATTTTGGGGACTAAACACGTTTTAAATTTGAGGGACAAAAAAAGTATATACAAGGGTTAAAACAATATTTTTTGAAATTATAGAGACTAAAATCACAAATTTGAAATTTGGGAGACCAAGAAAATAATTACTCCAAATTTGGAGGGCTAAAAACATAATTAAGCACACACATACTCCATTGGAAAGAGGTTTTTTGAGTGATGACCATAAGTAAAACTATGAGGATGTAAATGCAAAGTGAAACTATCTTACTATTGTATAGTTGTGTGCAAATACCTTCATAAACAACTAAAGATATAAAACTCCTTGATAAAAATATATATTCTGACAAATAAATATCATAAAATAACCCTAATAGGTGGAAACAAAGTTGCTGGTTGGATTTGATGACAATCACTAACCCATAACCCATACAAACAAACAACAATAAGGATCCAAAAGGCCTTTCAAACATTGAAGTATGTGTGTGCTTTATAAATTGTTATTTCTTTTTTGATTTTATTAATGTAGGATTTGTTTGTATTCCAATAAAACTAAGTCTCACTTTAGAAAAAAGTAAATTTTAAGTTTTGATTGTTGGTTAGAGGAAGATGAATACTTTGAAATGGACTACCACTAATGAACTCCTAATTAAATATTTCTTGAATTATTTACAACTCTCACCTTTAATTTGTTCTTGACACCAAGGTTTCTTCCCAATGTTATAAAAAAAATCTTAAAATCTTAAAATTTTAAAAATCTTAAAATTTTAATTTTTTTAATTATCTACAAGTTGATCTTAAGCCTTGCAATGTGTTAGAATCCAATCCAATTACAATTTAGTGTGGGGTTTATAAGGATCCATTCAAGCCTTGATCATACTTCTTTTCTACTAGTTTTGACCTCTCAATTAAATTTTATTGATTTGAGAATCTAATAAACATTGATTATCAATTTACGAACACTATTTGTCTTAACTTAGTAATTAGATTTCTGAAATCAGCTTTTGGGCTTTATTTGGTAAATATTGTATGTGATGTGAACTGAAATGTGTCACAATTCTGCTAATTGTTTCTATAGATAATATATTAGCAGTAAATAATGAATCTAACATGTTATCACCACAGATTTATATTGTTAGAGCATTTCCAGATTCAGTTGAAGAAAAAGGAATGGATATTTTAGAAAAAGAAGGAAATATGCATGAAACCAAAGTATCAAAAGCTGCCTGTAATATTGAATCAGAATCCAAGACAAAAAAACCAAAACAGGCAGCTGTGTATAAAACTACGGAACCAGAGTTTTCTCAGGAGCATCTGCCAGATGGGGTAAATCCAACTAAGAAATCTAAATCTTCCCAGAAAGAAATGCAAAAGACATCAAAAGGGAAAGTGCAAATTAAAACCGACAAATCCAAGGCGGCTGTAAAGCTTTCAAACAAGACAAGGAAGCGAAGACAAGGTATTACAAATGAAATTGGTGACTTAGGCAAGTTAGAGAAGAATGGGTTTGTTCAGGATGCAGCTGATTGCAAATTGGAGAAACTTGAACTAATTCAAGAAGCAACCAAATGTGTGTCACAAAAAGCAAGAAAAAAACCAGCTCCAAAATATTTCAGAAAGAAAGCATAATCTTGGAGCTGATGAGTGGTAAACTATTGTTATGAAATGAATGACTATATTATGGTAGTTGACAATATTTTTCTGTTATGGATTAATGGATAATATGCTGTTGTAAAACATCTAAAAGTAAGGTGTATGTTTCTTTAATCCAATTTTTGACTTATATTGTGATTTGATATCTATCGGTGGGTATGTTATCTAGTTATAAACATAAAAATAAATGTATTGTTAAGGTGTAATTTTGATGCTTTCATCTATAAATACTGCAAGTTGATTGAATTTACATTATGGTTTTATTGTTCAAGGGTTTTAAAAAATGTTGATTTTAATATTTTTATGATAAATAAAGCAAATAATCCATGCTTAACCTTCAATCCAAACACAACATTCAATTGAAAGTAACTGGTTTGCATTAACTACACGACTGTGTTACAAAAATAACAAGCGAGTTACGAGGAATTTGTACTTGGAAACAAACTTCAACATGCCTTTAGCTTTCAACAACGTGCAAAACAAGTGACACACTGAAGCTGTTTTCTGGATCAAGCCCTTGCAATAACAAATCAGGGAGTGAGTTGCAGTTGAAGTCGCCAATTTAAATGTGTAGGGAGTTTACAAACATGTCACCTATCAGTTGTGCCTAGAAAGAGCAATTGAAAATAACAAGAGTAGCAAATTAGAATATTTATAGTAGTTCCATTCTTGAAGCTTTATGAAAAGATTTTGTCATCGAGCAAAGCTTAACAACTTCATAATAAAGTAAAGATGTGAGAATTTTACCTGGGTATAGATATAAACTTGGAGAATATTTAGGACAATCCTTTATGGTTTGATTAACATCATCTTTTAACTTAAATTCTTGGTGAATGTCTTTGAAGTTTGGCAAACTTGCAAGCTTTATATCTCTCAGGTTTTGTAGTAGTACATGTTCTCCTTCTTGACCATCATCATCAGTTTCACGTTCAAAAGCAAAAGCCTTGTCTAACTGAGAGCACTCTTTTATTTCCAAAGTGGTCAAAATGGGAAAATCACTTGCCACAAAATTATAAAAAAGGCATCTCAACTTGTTACATTTTTGAACTTCAATGTTCTTGAGTTTTGGGAAGCACACTTTTTGGGAACAAGTATGTAGGACTTTTTGTTCTTGTGCATCACCTAAATCAAATATTTGCTCCAATTTCTCACAGTCAAATATTCTGAGGTCGGTTAGCACTGGAAAGCTTCTAACAATGGTAGGGGAGAAGATGGTTTTCAATTTAGGACATGCGCTCAGATAAAAATATTGAAGCACTTGGAGGCTTAGAAAATTTGTCGGGCCCTTCCATATAAAGTTGAGCTCAAGTAGATCTGTCAAGCTGATATGTTCTAGATCCATGTTCAAGGGAACTAGTTCTATGTTGCTCCTAGGTTCTTCGATTTGGAATTGAAAAACACCTTTTATTCCAATACAATCAAGGAAGACAACTTTAAGTTCGAAGGAAAACATCTGATCGCGCAATTGGTTGAACCCAATGGTAATCGGCCATAGTATCTCCTTCTCCTATTTAGAAAACAGAATTAATTGTAGTTAATCTGTTACATGCAATAATTCAATATAATGAAGTTTTCGATCTAAAGAAAGAAAACACCAATAAAATGAAGTTATTTTTAGTACAAGGATATACACTTTTTTTTTTAATTCTGTTTGTTGAAATACATATGCACTGATCACCTATTATATTAAATATAAATGGAGATCTTTTATATATTTATTTTTATAAAAAAAAATATTTTTATATATTGCTAAATTACACATCACTTAAGTAATGATAAGTTGGTGTAAAAAAAGTAGTGATAAGTCATACGTCAACATTATAATTTATCAGTTGATGGATTTCAAATTAACAATAAATTAAAATTCATATTTTTAATATTAAGAAATTAAATGTTTTTATTCTAAAAACAAGTGATCAAAATAGCGAATTGTAAAAATAGGAATAATAAAAGTGTAATTAAGCCAAATTATTTTTATTTTATTCGTATGTGTCACATCTTTAAAAATTATATAATTATATGATAATTGTGACTATAAAAATTATGATAAAAGATTAATACAATGTTATATTTGTTCTTGGTGCATCTAGACACCAATTAAGATTTTTTTATCTTCTTCCTAAAACATGTAGTGTAACTTATTAGTAGAGAACATTGGTGATTAATACAATGATTCAAAATAGTACTCGAAGCAAATGACTTTTTTTTTTTTTTTTTACAGCTCAAAGCAAATAACTTCAGCAATTAACTTATTAAGGTTGTAATATTATCTGCACATTTTTGCATACTTATGATAAGCATAAAATAGAGTGAATACAGAAGACTTGAGAATACCAATTTCAAGTATTATTCTAACAAAATATCTAAATAATTAATATATATTATAAATATCACTAAACCAAATTTAAATGAACAAGAAAAATAATTATTTCAAAATTGTATAATTTTTAATATTATATTATTATTAATTTATTTATTAAAAGAAAACTAAATACATGCACGACACACAAGTTTATATATATTATTTAACTATTCCTCACTTATCTTGCTTTGTAAGGAATCTTTTTCTGAAACTAAGGAGTGGGAGAAATGAAAGTTTGTACGTTAATGATAAACCACGATTCTTTTTCGTAACAAACATCTTAGACCATAGTGCATAAAACTGCCACTTTAATTCTTCGGAAAGAGGTAGAAAGAAAATTCAAATTAATTAAAGTGAGCATATATAGAGTAGTTAGGACTCTAATCATATATAGCTAAACTGACACAGTTTAGCTAAACCTCCCAAAATGCAACAAATTAATAAATAATAATATTTTAAAAAAATCATCTAAGAATGAGCTATTAAAGAATAAAGAAATAATCATTTTTGAGCAATATATTACCATTGTAGTTGTGTCTCGGTGCAAAGCTGAATCATTCGCCAACTTACGCACAGTAGAGTCAAACAATTTTGGACACGCAAAACATTGTAACCTTTTCGTATTTGGTAAACGTGAATGGTAGTAATCAGGCCAAATGTCAATGAGATTTGGTAAGTTACTCAACTCGAGATAATCCAAATCAATAAGATTTATGTCAATATCAGTTTGATGGCTACTTTGGTGCTGGTTCACTGAAGCATGATGTTCCCTTTCACTTCCAAATACATACTTCAAGTTGCAGTTGTTTATGATCACCAAATTTTCCAAGCTTGCTAGCCCTGTACTGAAACACGCATGGAATATATATTCCAACCTGTGGCAGTTATCAACATTAAGATACCTTAACTTTGGGAGCGTCCAAGAGGTATGATTTTGATTTCTAAAGTAATCAACATCCCCTTCTTCTATTATGTGCTTCAATTCACTACATCCAGATATCTCTAGATGTTCCAATAGCACTAGAGTTTGGATAATGGATGGCATAAAGAGAGAAGCTAGCATTGGGCATGAATCTATTCTTAATTCTTTAAGATTGCATAGCTTTGAGTTCCTTGGAAAGGATATGTTGTACAATTGTGGACAATGACTTATGTATAACTCTTCTAAATTTTTGAGAGAGCATCGATCATGAAAAACTTTATAAAGACTATCCAAAAAATATAGATATATGATAACTAGGCTGGAGAACACAACTTCAGTCTGAAGCATATAAACATTGGTGTCTGTAGTGATAGTACTTTCAAAGAGACATTCTATGTCTCGACAACGACTTAGCATTAGGAGAATCAACTGATTCATGCCTTGCGAATCCATAGATGGGATTACATTTTTGTAACCTCCCTCAAGGTTGCTCAAACAAAGGATATTTGCTCTTACAAACAAATCATTGATTGGAAGTGATATAAAACTTTGAGCAGGAGCATTAAAACCATCTATGCATAAAGCTCTAGATGGTCTGTGCTCTTCCAAATAGTAAAGTAGCTGAGAGAGAATATCTGTATAATTGTGTACTACAACATACTTCCGCAATCTACAGAAGAAAGAGACATCGTGTGGAAAGTCCTCTTGAGGTGACACTAACCACAAATACAATTCCTCTAGCTGCAAACATTCTCTTATAACCTTATAAGAATTATTTTTCTTAACCAAACAACCGTACAAATCCAAAAGCCTCAAGTTCTTTAATGCTACAATTCCATTAGGTAATTCTTCTAAATAAGAACCACGCAAGTCAAGAATCTCAAGTGCTTGTAGGCTTTCCAAAATGGAGATGTCACCTAATTCAAATCCTCTCAAGCACAAAGTCCGGAGATTTTTTAGTGCCTTCATTGATTGCGGTAGTGATAACGAAAAAAAACCGAAAGAAAAAAAATAACATTTATAGCCAAATTGTAAGAGTGCTAGGATTTTAAGCATTTTCGACCTTTCAAGACAAGCATTTGATACTTCAAAGCCAACCCTTTGAGAATGAAGCAAGATAATTTCAGTTGTTGGACAATTCAATTGATCATTAAGAAGCAGACCATTTTCTAAATCCCACAAGGATATTGCTTTTTTATCTTTTATGGTTTCATCCTCTACCAACTTACTTGGATCCATTGTATTACTTGCCAAAATTGCTTGACCTTTTTCAGATGCTATCCACAAGGCTACATCACGAACCATGTCATGCATTTTCACCTTTTCTTTTTTATTGGCACGCAGCAACAAACAAGAATCCCTCAGGATATTAACAGCTACATGAATCTCTATCCTTGCTTTTTCCATTGTTCCAAAAATTCCATTTAGGCCCAGTCCCCTTCCAAAACGAAATAAATCCTCCAAATCAATTTCATGATCCTCTGGAAATATAGAACACAACAGTAACAAGGACTTGGCTAATTCATTTTTCAAATTATCATAACTTAATTTGAGACATGCATGAGTAGTTCTTAAGCCATCAGGAATATCTAGTGGAATGGAATCTTCTAGTCTTGATAATGCTGACTTCCACTCTTGAAAAGTTTTCCCCTTTAGCGTGCTTCCCACTGTAACAATTGCGATAGGCAATCCCTTGCATTCATCGGCAATTTTTCTTGCCACATCTTTCAAAACATCTAGAGAGTCATCAGTTAAGTTTGCATACTTTTTGAACAAAGTCCAAGATTCCTCATCAGTCAAGAGATCGAGCTCAATTATGCTTTGGCATTGCATAGACATGCATACTTCTCTTTTCCGAGTTGTTAGGAGTACTCGACAACCCTTGCTGTTCTCATTATTAAATGGAATACCTATAGCTTCAAAGTCTAGCTTTTCCCATACATCATCCAAGATTACAAGAGTTGTTCTTTCCCTTATTCTTTTTGATAGTCTTTGTGCTCTACCTTCCTCTGATTCTTCTTTAAATTCTAGGCACAACTTATCAGCAATTTGAGCTTGGATGCCTCTGATATTTGGAGTTTGAGAGATTGTTGCCATGACAACCTCCTCAAAAAGTTTTAACTCCTCAACTTTCTTCCCAACCTCTTTTGCCAAACTAGTTTTTCCTGAACCTCCCATTCCAAATAGTCCAATCATGCAAACGCTTTCATCCTTTAATGCTTCCAAAAGCTTGTTGTAAGTTGATTTTGTTGAGCTGAAATAAACAAAATCTTTGGAAGAATAGTACTTCATGCCTGGAAGTTCAGTAATTGAAGAAAATGGCTCAAACCGACTATTACGATTCAGTTGAGTCATTATTTCTAATTTTCTTGCTATTTCTTTTGCAAGAAAATATTGACACCGCCTTCTAAAATAGATTTTGCTTGCTTCCAAAATTCTTCCTTCAAGTAGTTGCACTTCTTCTAAGACTTTCTCAACATCTTTCAGCCACTTTTCAACACTTGGTTCAATTTTTTCAGTCCTATTAGTGGCTTGTCTAACTCGTTCCTTCACGCTGTCTCGAGTCAATTCCAATTCTTCTTTAGCAATTGGAAGATTCCCAACAAAGTTGTGGAAACAACACAGGTATCGACCATGGTGTATAATCGAACCCACTGTATATTCTGCAATCTTTGCTGCAATGGAAAGACAAATCTCCATTTTGAAATGACACAATCCTGATATGAATGAGTTCATCAATTTTTGGACAAAAAATATTATGTTATGTAAACTAGGATCGTGCTGGTGCAATTAAAGGAAACAAAAACATAATAATGTCTTTTACATACCTTTGATGGGTGTCCTTGTTGTTGCAAGTTGAACGCTTTTTCGAAATTTGAGAAAAAGTAGCATTAGAATTGCAATGACAACAGAGAATTGCAATGATATGTGATATTTGTACACAGCACTGAATATTTGTAGTAAAACATAAATTGCTTTATGAATTCATTAACAATATGTTTTAATATCTAAAGAATAATTAAGTTGTACAAGTATGCTAGGAAATGATTTTTGAAATTATATATCTTGTGTATTTTGGCCTTTCAAAAAGTGAAATATGAAAATACATGAAAAATATGTATATAATAACATTTTTTCATATTTCGTTAATAGAATTGCTTATCTTCCTTTTTCAAAAACAATTAACACTTTAGCCCTAACAAATTGTATGAGATAAATAGTATATATATATAATCATTTATTTATGTAAATTAAATTATTTTATTACGTTTTTTCAACTATTCAAATTAATATAAAAATATTTAATATAATTTAAATTTAAATATAATAGCATAATTATAACATTGATATTTTGAAAATGATAGAATTTAAAGTAAATTAAGATTTAAATTAAATTTAAAAATAATGTCCAACGCAAGCCACATTTTGCAAGCATAGATTAATCATTAATTATCAGTTTTGATAAATTGGTTGAACATGTCGATGGACCAATTTTTATTTTTTAAAAAAAAATAGCATGCTTTATAACAACAATAATTAGTATAGTTAAATTTAAGTTTAATTCCTTATTAAGCTGACCATGTGTATCCATTCAAATGGCCAGCTAAATTACTCATTATGTAACACATAATATGCCAACTAATGAGTTAACTAGTAGCGTTAACATTCTATTGACAACATGGTCCAACTTAAGAAGTGATAAAAATAAAAGTTGAGGATTAGCGTTCCCTTTTTCCTTAATTTGGAGACTACTTTAAGAGCATCCCACAAAATTAGAGGTCAAAGTGGTACTATATGTAACACCCTAGGATTTCTCTAATTATTAATTTGAGGAGTAATAATTATTTTATTTTATTTATGATTAATAGTTTTATTTTATTCATTTTTAATAGATTTAATTATTCAAGGGAGTATTAGAAATAATGAAGATAAGAGGGGTTTAGAGAAATATGAGTTATATATTAGAAGAGAAGGGAGAAAAGAGATATTATTATTCATTTGTTTCATTTCATGTTCTCTGACACTCAAATGCTCTTAAGAAAATACATCTCGAGAGTAAGGGGAAGGGATCGTCGTAGAAGAGGAAGAAGATTAGATTTGTACATTGCATCACTCCAGGTAAGGGGGAGTGAGAACACTCATTTCTGGGGATTGGGTGTATGCATGAAGGGTAGAGAGATTGATCCCTAATCCCATAAGTTTTCTGTTTGATGAAATGATATGTGCATTTAATGTGATTAGTCGAGTCGATTCTGAATATGTGATTGATTTGATGATCAAATGTTTTATAGTAATTAATTGAGTATTTTGTAGAAAGAGGTTAGAACCCTAAGACGAGAAATTCAATGAAATTAAGGAATAAAAGTTGTAGATGCTAAATTGATAAATTTCCTGGATGAAAAATGAATTTCTGGTTGATATAAATTGGATAAATGATTTGGGTGACATTTGTTTCAAGATCTTACTCTATATTGATGTGTTTGGCTGTCAAAACGCACGCGGTGCCGAGCTTGGATGCTTGATGTCGGGCATGCATTCATGTGCATGAAGGCATTGCCTAAATGTGTTAGCGTCAGGCATGGAGATGTCCACATTAGGCGCGAAGTGACTAATGTGCTCTTTATTATGGCTTAGCACCAGGCGTAGAGATGTCCACACTGGACGCAAAAATCATATGGTGCTATCTGTTGTGGCTTAATGCTGGGCGCGAGGTGTGACACCAAGCATGATAGGATTTTGGTGCTCTCTACGATGGCTTAAAGTTAGCACAACTTGGGAAAACCAAGCACGAGAGACAACAAGTGCTCTTTGTCGTAGCTTAAGGCCAAGCGTGGGTTTCCAAACTCGACATGGATGGTTAGAAGACTTATTATGATGTTTCAAATGATGTTTTTGATTGTTTATATGATGAAGAATGTATATACATACTTAATGAATGATGATTATTATTGTGATGGATAACCTTGATGTGGATGGATATAAATGTCAACAAACGATGAATTAGACGATGATCATGATGTATTAGTATAGAAGCATTTGACATGGTTTTAGCATGCATGATACTTGCATGTTTTGTGGTTCTGGTGGGAACCTATTTTGTGGTTCTAGTGGGAACTTGTTAGTGTTCTGGTGGGAACACTTTTGTGTTGGTAGCCTAAGGTTCACTTGGGACTTAGGCACCAACTGTATATTCTTGATGATGATGATGGTCGAGTACCTCATGCATTTAGATGTAGGTGCATGTTGCATTGCATTTCTAAGTATGTGTTTGTGGATGGTTGATGTTTTTATTATAGTTTGAAGTATTGTATTGTTATTATTATATTTCTAAGTATCAATTATTATTAATATATTATTTATCGTGAAAGGATGGGATGCCAAGGGTCGTAACTCATTCCCTATAGGGTGAGATTATTCTCACTTCCTGTTTGTTTTTGGTGTCTCTCTCATATGTTTTGTAGATGAGGATCCCCAATCTTGGGAGGAGTAAGGAAAAATCTAAGTGGGTGTGAACTTTGATGCCAATGTGACATTGAGGGTTTAGAGTAATTTAGAAAATTACAATACTTCTTTGTCATCTCAATATTTTTGAATTCACAAATTGTCTACTACTACTCGGTTACTTATGTCTCAAATGATCTGAATTATTTTATTTATAAATTGGTACGAGGATACACTACACCAAAATTAATTTTTTGTGGCAATTAATTTATTATTTAGCGGCTATATAAATGGTCATTATTCTTTTTACCAGCATTTAAATAAAGGTTGGTGTATCCAGTGTTGCTAATACTATTACCGACATTTATATAAAATGCTGGTAAAGATCTACTAAATTGTCGGAAAAACTTATTTTTTTTTGTGACAATTCTAGTAGCCACTTTAAAGGCTATTAAAAGTTATTTTTTTCAATTGTCTCATTTACTTTAAATAATTTATTCCTATAATTTCCTTTTCTAAATTCATAACTTATATACTTTTTTTTATCTCTACTCGATGTGGAATTTGTAAGATGATGGTTATTTTTTATTTATATATTTTTAATTGTCTTGTCTCTTAAGAAATGTGAGATTTATAAGGTGAAAGTTGTTTTCTAATTATTTTATAACACTATTGAATTTGGTAATAATGTGTGATTTGATACTAATTTAGAATAGTGAATTAGGAGTTAACCCTATAAAATGAATCTGTAAGGTGATAGTTATTACTCACTTATATACTATTTAATTATCTTATCTCTAATCGATGTGGGACTTAAGTTTTTTCTAATAAATAATTGTCGCTAATAATAAACTTTAGTGTAATATAAATACATTTTTAGTGGCTATTATATATTAGTCATTAATGTTTTTATATATGGTGGCAATTAAATTATTGTCATTAAATAATTGTCGTTAATAACAAATTTTGTTGTAGTGATATAATTGAGATTTTATGCATTTGATTGGTACTATACTTGGAAGTAGATGGGTGTCACTCTTTACTCATAAAAAAATATATATTTTGGTGACAACACAATAAAAAGATTATGTATTTAATTTTTTTTAATTCTAAATGTTGAACTTTAAATCATTATGAATTGAAAAAAAGTATATTAAACTTGATTTATTTTAAAAAAATAAAGATGTTGCAAGATATCCATACGGAAGAAATTCATAGTCTACTATACGTATTGCATTATATCAAAAGATTATACTTTTTTTTTCCAGTTTTGGTGCATTGTTATTAAAATATTAATGACAATGCTTGTAATTTTTGTTGTCGTTTAAAATTAGTTTTTGAAATTAAAACCATGTCAAAGATTATCTATATGTCAAAGAATAAGTTGAAACAAATTATCATTTTTATATTTTAAAATTAAAATGTTAGAAATGCTTAATTATAAAAAAAAATACATTAGTAAATTGACAATAAAATAAATTATAAAAAATTATGTTAAATTAATATTTAAATATAAATTTTGTTTGAGGAATTTTCTAAGCACAATTTTACCAGTCAGACTTTTTAAGATATAAACTAATTTAAAAACTTTATAAAAGCCTATTTGATTAAAAAAAAATAGAAGACAAATTTTAGGTATTTAAAAAGATTTTTAGACTAAATAGATTGACTAACTTATGTAAATGAAAAATAATAATATTTTTTTAGTATTATTATTACATTAATATTTATAAAGTATTTAAGATGATATTTTTTGGAATTTTTTTGAATAGTTGGGACAAATTTTGACTAGCCAAGCTTATAATCTTATTGGGGAAAAAATTTATATCCTATTAGAGGTATTTTTAATAATAATTTTTTAAAAAAATTATTATAAAATTTATATTAAACCTTATAAAAAAAACTTATCATAAAATAAATTATTAGATTAACCCCTTATGAAGTATAACCTATTTGACCTGTTTGTTGATCAGACTATTTAAAGTTACATCGACATACCTATTTAAAAAAATTAAAAATGAATTAAACTTTTAAATAAATTAATAATTAAGTTAGACTTTAAAAAAAAAAAAGTATTTCCGGTCTATAATGTGTATCAAGTTAAGCTCAAGTCTCGATCAATTTTAAGCAAAGTCTTGTTCAACTTGACTTATTTTCAGTCTTAGGTTATAAGAGCAGAATTCCAAATTCTTTTATGCATTTTAGAAAATTAAATTTAGAATCTCAAGCCTGATTTCATAAGAAGCAAACCAAACATATTCTCCCAGAATACAGGATTTGGATAGGCGTTCTCACAAATTATAACTGACATGAAAAACATACACGCAAATGCCATCATTAATATGATATGCAATCATATATTTTTTTATTTATATATAAAAGACACAGATAAATAACATATTTTCAATAAAAGTTGATAATATATTTAAAAGTGCAACTGTATCGATATAATTCTATACGATCAACAACTTTGGGATTTGTTGTATATATGATTGACATGGATGTAAAACATGAGTTGTAGAAGCTAAACAAAATCTAAACTAATTTGGAGATTTGAATTGTGATGCGTACCTCAAAATACGTGTACAGCAATAATGTCAATAAGAAGAACAGTGAAGAAACAACCTTATTGTGAATCACAATATTGGTTGAATGATTGTAACAAGTCTCGCATCGAGGAGGTCTCCTCACCAAGAAGTCCTTATAAGGCGGGAGGTTCTCCAACTTCTTGGGCCGGTTTTTGAGGGATGGTTCCCCTCGTTAGCCTTGTGCTCGTTACAATGATGTAGAGTTGCAATTCTAGGGAATGAAAATGATTGACTTCAGAGAGTATAAAAACATGTATTGTTAACTGAGAATAAAAGTTCATCCTTCCTCAGTTCCCAAGTAAGGTATTGAATTGATAATAGATGCACGTTATTCCATAACTTTTTGGGAGTTCATGAATAAGAAGCAATTATTCTCAATTTTGTCGTGTTTGTGCTTTGCATTGTGCACAAGTTAGTATGTGCGAAACAGATACAAGAAATGAGGACATTAAATATCCCTATTTGACCTCACATATATATATATATATAGGAAATCTATATGGTAAAAAAATTGAAAAATAAATACTAACATGCACCAAGAAATAATTTTTCCTGATCACTATTTAGAATACCATGCATGGTTTGATTATTTGTGTGTTTTGCTGTGCATATTCTATCTTAACCGCTGAATTGTGGCCTTGTGGGGGCATCTTTCATGGTTTCAGGGTAGAAGCTTTCGAAGAATTCAGATGCATTGAGATTCTCAAGAAGTTATTAATCTCATGATTAAGGATTTTAAGTATTCACAATACTTGTTATAATTTGGTGTGTTTGGATGAAGAATTTTATAAATTCAAGGAATTTTAAATTCTTGGTATTTGAATTACTTTGATTTCATTTTTTATCATTCTTAAAATATTTTGTTTGGATAAGTCAATTCAAATTTATCAAATTTTAAATTATTAAGTTGGATATGATAATTTGATCCCACCATAGTAAAATTAATTTTAAAAATATATTTATATGTTGAGAATTTTAAATTAAATTTTATAAAAATAAATATTAACAAATTTTTAAATATTTAAT